TATGAAATGGTTAGACATTTCACAAAACACAATCTAAAGTGGAATATTTGTGTAAGCTTTACCAAATTCCATTCCGGTTTTCAGTAAATACAATGTTACTTCCTGGTATAGATGACATCACTGAACTCATGGGACCATGTGATACTTGGCCAAAACTCCACAAAGGTGATCAGAAAATATATTTTGACAAACTGAATTGCAACAATATCTTTTTATGTGATGACTTTATGAGTAAAGTGTCTAGAAATGTAGATGATCTTCAGTTATATAACGTTGCTCTGCTTCATATACATTTGAAATTCAAACTATGGCTTTATTAGTTTATAAATGTATTTATTTGACACAGGTGTCGTTCCACTAAAACATTAGTAATTAGAATAATACAAAATGATCATATATTATGAAGATCGGTGTCATCACAATGAAATAAAACAACGCTCTGGACAAAATGCTAATGTTAACAAAGAAAATATTTGTTTAATACAGCTCTATGTTCTGAACCACAACAAAAATGAATTTTGAAGTGAACTGTTTTGCATATTCTTCATATAGTCCTGGAGTACGCCATCCTGCTGCGTTCTATCCAGATGTTGTACAAAAACTTCAAAAACACATAATTAGAAATAAACTGCTTTGCTGCTGTCCTTTGAGTATTTACTGAACTGCTTAACTCCACCAAAAGGCACAGAGAAGCTAAGAAAAGAAGGATTTGTAACTCGCATTGTTTAATATTATCAGCCGGCTGTTTTCAGTTTAATGCTGCTAAAGTCCTTCTAAGGGCAGGTATAGTTTTGTAGTCTTAAACCCTATTTATCCTATTTGAGTTACTTCAAATATGTAACAACACAAAACAGATCGGATCCGATTATCTTTTTAAACCTACCCAACCAAATACAGTAGACCTACACATAAAGCCAGATGCAATATACACAAAATACCAGGGGATGTTTGTAAATCCATTACTTTTACTAGTGTTTGAGTCTGAGAAGCGGCCCCTGCAGAATAACAAACTTTCCCAATAGCGCACATGTAGGTCTCGTCAGCCTCAAAGTTCGAATAAGTCAAAGTTTGTCTGCCCACGGCTATAAAACTAACTTAATGAAAGGGCCTTGGCTGTGACGATGTTTGTCCAAACCTGCGTCTGACCCCTCTGCAGTCCAGTGCTGTAGTGCGACCTCCTTTATGTCCACACAATGGGAACTTTCCATCAGCGCTCCGACTGTGGCTCTTTCCTTGAACAGTTAGTGTGGTATCGATTAGGGCCGCTCCAAGTCCTCAGGAATCAGCTCGTATTGATTTCACTTCAGCTTTAAGCCTCTCTCAGACCTACTGTATGTCTCTCTCCTCACTCGGCTCCTTTTCAAACATCTTGACCTCTTTGAGATGAGTTTAGTGAAACACAGTGCGATTACTCAGCTCTCCAAGTCTATTTGCACACTTTTCCAAAAGTGGGGTTTAAGGCATGAGACCATGAGAGAAGGAAGACCATTGAATGTATACAAAGATACATTGCTTGGTTTTATTATTATTTGTAATATTTTTGTTGGGTACTTAGGATTTTAGAAGAAAGAGAATCAATATTGATAAATGCTATTTCCACCAACGAGAAAACCATCAATGAACCACAATTTTTTTAACCATAACATTTGTCTCATCGAGAGCGGGGTTGTTTGACCAGATACTGTACTTTCAGAGGGCCACATAATAAACATCATTGTTTGTTTAACGCTATTCATTTTCAATCTGTTTCAATAATTAAAGTTTTTGACAGTATAATGCACAGGTTATTAATGATGTATTGTTGGTATTTGAATCAGAATCTAACTGAATTATTTATATTGCCATTGTAAGTAAGAGGAAGCTACAAACTAGGAATTTGATTTGGCTCAAGGTGAAAACAAGTTATAAGAGTAAAAATAGATGCAGGCACACACAACATAACAACAAGTACACGCGATAGACATTTCACAGTGCAGTTAAAGTGCAGATGTCTATTTCTTTGCCAATTCAGATGAATATTCATATAATCTGTAAGTGGAAAGAGTCTGTTCAAGTGACGACAGTAAACATATGTCATTAAACTGATTCATCCTGAAGGATTATGTTTTATAAATCAGACGAATGAGTGAGGTCACCTCCCTCATGTGTGTGTGCGTGCAAGTGTGGGTGCGTGTGTGCCCTCACCCCGTCTCCCCTCCATATGACAGCCGAAGGTAAACAGTTTGTCAATACAGCATTTCTCTGGTAAATGGACTCGTTCCTGCCTCCAGGAAACACTTAGAGCAGAGCAGCTGTCAGTCACAGCTTAAAGCAGTGCAGCAGAACACCCCCCACACGACCTGCTCCTTAGAACTGCCACAATATCAACATTTACTCTTTTGCTTTATTGAGGGAGGAATTATAATGTTTACTATTATTGCTGATTAACAAATTCTCAACTCCACAAAACTTACAATTCTTTTTGATTGTAAGGCTAGAATCAATTCCCAGGCAGAAAGCTAGTTTAACTTAAGTTAAGCAATTGACCAGAAGATGAAGTACATGCACTAAATGTCTCACTTCTTTATCACAACACTGTCTGCCCTCTGGGAAGCAGGTCAAAAAGAGCAAAACACATACGTGAAGCAAAAGGTCTTCGCACTCTGATATTAAAGAATATCCTTTTTTTCACACAGATATATCGGCATGTTTTGACAAGCGTCCCTGTCAGTGTCAGTCCTATCTTCCCCTGACAAAGACGCCTGTTGAGACGCGTTCCACAGCTTCATTCTAGAAGAGAACCTGAGCTACACTTTTCCACATTCGCACACAGGCAGCTGCCACATCCTCTGCTTTTTATAACTTTTCTGCAGAACAAAAAGCTCATACTCTAATATAAGAGTGTAATGTTCAGTGCGGACCGTCCATATGTGAGCTGTGTCTTCAATAGATGTCCCGCTGTCGCCACTCCAAACATCAATAATACACTGCTATTTTCAGCTCTATTCTGAAAGACAAGAAACAGTCAAACTGCAGAGAGGTCCAAATACCAACAAGCAAAACGGCAAAAAGGTAACAAACAAACTTAAAAAACAAAATGCACAAATCGGGGTAAAAACACAGAAAGTAAGTAAGTCATTTTTTATTTATATAGCGCCTTTCACAGACCAGAGTCACAAAGCACTTTACAGTTGTTGTGATCGCGAGGATCGCCATAAAGAAGGTGCATACCAGACCTGTTGTACTTATTTTTAGTGGGAAGGGAAAGTTCTGGAGGTGGAGTCGAACCCAGGACCTTTTTGCTGTGAGGCGCAGATGAGGGAAGAGCACAGGGGACATAGGACAGGGGAGGCAACCAAACAGGGGAGCAAGACAGGAAGTAAAACATGAAAAGAAACTAGAGGGAGCATGTACAGACTAACACAAATCCACATACACTGTAGTGACAAAAACAGATTGTTGTCGAGCTCTTCTGCTTCTTGTAGGTAAAGTTGAAGATCCTTGAAAGTCTGGAGACATAATCCTGGCTTTAGCCCCTCTTCCATTTGTCTTCAGTTTGAGTCCAGTGTCTGTGGCAGGGGAACCTTAAAGGGGTCTCTCTGACAAAGAGGCGTGTGGAGTTTCTCTCGTGACTCGGTTCAGAGTAAACTGTAAGATGGATGTTGACAGTTTTGCCGGTGCAGTTGTTGTAGCTGATAACAGTTTCAGCCGCAGAGTAATTTCAAAGGTGTGAGACCCAAGTGGTGCTTGAGTCCCGAAAATATGGGTTTGAGACGTGAAGGTTACGAGGAAAACAAAACGTTGTGTTTATAGGAGACACTTGCAATCTATGGGAAGAGATTTGTCATTTTGGATGAGCAATAACTTATTTCAAGTCTCAGGTCAAGGGTTATTGAACCTGGAAAATGAGCCACAGTTTATATTTCCTGTGTTCATTTCAGCATTTTGTACAAAGGTTTCATTACATTTTATTTTATTATTTTGGAATTTCAACATTTCTGTTTGAATGATACCTGTTTAAAAAAAGATACAGTATATATAGTGGCTTTACACTGAGCATTAGCAACATTGGCAAACTCTATTAGGCTGCGTGGGATAGTCAAAATGATCAAATTCAGATATTAATCCATACTAAAATGATTAATTTTTTCATAATTTTGATCTCAGCACTAGTGTAAAACCGTTGGAATATTCACATTTTATTGTAGTATATCACTGCGGTAGGGACATTTATTTATTTGTTTATTTCTTAGTGTCCAAATCCAGTTAATCTCTGTATTGTGACGACAAGTGCTGAGCAAAGTTCTTTTAAGACTCTACTGTTTCTTTTATCCACAGTCATTATATATATGTGGTGATGATCCAGGACACTTTAACATTCTACAACATGTATGGACGTTTTTCAATATGTGTTCTATATTCTTTTTGTGTCTTAACTGTTGATTCTCTGACCTGTGTTGTGTGATTTCAATGGTTTTGTTAAGTCCTCTGAGATGAATACTGTTGTGATTTAGGGCTATACAAGAATAAATTGTATAAATAAATTGTATATAGTATATTTCAACATTATTATGCATTTACAGTAATGGGCATTTGAAACATACATTTTGGAATGATTCATAATTTCTAAATTGTTGGGAAGCTACTTGGATAGGTGTGGCGAGCTCCTGGTTGATCCCAAGCTACAGGTTAGAGACCCCTGCTCTAATCCATGACTTTTAACACCGTCCATAGTGACCACTAAACATGTTTCAGCTGCACTCTACAAGGCCAGAAGCATTATTGTATTTATAACCTGGGATTCAAGGAAGTTCCTTGAATCCCAGGTTATAATTACTATAAAAATTACATTCAAGATCATGCTTAAGGACAAACGTGTGAATATCAGATGTTGAACAATTTGTCACTTGGAGCTGGTCCCAGTGTTGACAGCTGTCTCTCCTCTGGTGTGATCACATCAGAGCAGCATGTGTGTTTGTGAATGGTACTAAGCGTCTCTTCTCCCTCTCTTGTCTCCTCAGTGAGTCCAGATGTGTCCCGTGATCACGACCCCCATCATGGTCCTCATCACCATCCTCCATCTGCCAAAGAGTCCAGCAGTCCAGCGCTGACGTGGGCCATCTGGGTGCTGCTATTGCCTTGTTTACACACACTTCTGGCTTTGTAACAACTGCCTTTTGCCATCGACAGACTAGGCTTTTCAAGTGCATTCGGACATTAAAGAGGACGTGAGGGCCCTCCAACGTGAATGGACTTGTGCAACAGACTGTGGCTGGATTCCTGCTATAAAGTTATTAACTGTATTTTATATTCAGCATTGAAAAAAGTTTTACCATAAAAGTTCAATATTTATATACAATCAATATACAAATTTGAAGATTGAAAAGGTTGGCTTAATTTAATTGTTTTAAACTTTTAATATATGATCTGTAAATATAGCGCTGTTGCTACACTGTAACATTTTAACTAAATGAATGAATAGGTGAATCTTTTGTCATTACTCTGGACTAACTTTATGGATCGTAGATCACAGGTGGATATCACGCACTATATTATTTTAGCTTTACCTTTGGTTCCTGAATATCGGCCTTGAGCAAAATTCAACACATTTAATGAATTATATTTATTTAACAATATAAAACACTGTTTTGTACCACTTCAACAGTATAGTTTAAAAGCATGTGACTTTGCGTTAAACCTGCAGCTTTGTTCTATGGTTTCATTTTAAATTATGAAAATAACCCCTGTAAATTGATTTGATGTACACACTGTGTGTACCAAATAGACTTGCACTTTTGGAATTGCTGTATAAATGGGATTTTAACTGTACTTAAACTGTCCCATTTAGTTCACTGGTTTGTGCTGTCTATTTAATGACTTGGGCTTCAATGCCCTGCTCCAGCTGAGATGAGACACTGCTCCAGCTGCGACTGAGAATATGTGCACCTTTATTCTGCAGAAATATATTGGCTTTTCCTCTGGACTCTATTATCATGTTTCAAACTCAATCGTCCTCAGCCTCATACGGGCTGGGATCAGTCCTGATCGGCGCTCTGCTCCAGAATCCAATTGCTCCAACTGCACCTCAGCTGGAGAAGGAGGAGGAGGAAATAACTGCTCTCATGTGTGTGCATGTCTGGTCAGCAACAGAAGCAGAGAGGCCTTATACCTGCCATCAGAATGCCACCGTTTGCCTCCCGGCGCTAAAAAATAATTGAGAAGCAGCCAAGTCTATAACGACAATTCTTTGGCGTTAAATTTCACCATAGGCAGTCAAGACAAACAAATATTAAGCTTCCATAATATGTCAAGGTGTGAACATTTAATGATCCATTGTCTAGAACCTATTTTTATCCACTAGGAGCAGAAAGGACATTTTAATATTGCTATAATACTGGCCGTGAATGTGGAATAAATTGGATGCAAGTGTTTAAGATTTCATTTCTCACAACATTATACCCAATGAGCAGTTGGTTGAGTGTCATGTCTCGTTCATGTCTTTTCCTTAAGTTTAGAGAGTGCAGCACACACGACATATGGTAGCAACCTAGACACCTTTAACTACTTTCTACTGAACGTCTGGCGTAATTATTATGGCTTTTCTTCTGGGAGGAAGAGAGCTTGGATGATAACAAGGAAGAAAGCGCTTGCATCACTTGTAGGTGGCCCCTGCTGCGTCCAAGTCTCTCCTCTCATCCAGAACAAGAGAAGAGTTTGACTTTTAACAACAGCCATTTTCTTTTGCTGTCATTATATGTGTAGCTTTTAAGTCTCACCTGGAAATCTCTCACTGATCTGAACAAAAAACGGAGCCTTTCATTTCTAAATCCAAAACCACTTTTGCCTTGTTATTTCTGGGCAAAGAGGACCATCGGCATCAATTATGGAAGACTGCAGAGATGATGAAGGGGTGGTGTAATATACGCTTTCCTACATTCTGCTAAATTGAAGCTTCAAGAGTTTTGAGGCTGGAGCAGATATTCATACATGTGCAAAATGTGTTTAAAAAAAGGAGACAAAAAAATGCAATGTTAAAATATGTTGCTATTGTCAAACCTAGCACAATATGGACATACTGGATATTGTCAAATACAGTAATCTCACAGACAAAAAGCCAGTCTCAATTATTAATGGCTTAAAGGTGCATTCCTTACCTGTTCTGGAGGCTTCTTTAAATGTTGTTTAGCCTGGATATTTACTGCATAGAGTTTGCCTTTAATTGTTCCTTTTACATCTGACACAAGCTATCACTGTGTTTTTTGAGCTGTAAAATCACCCATATTTATGGAATGTACACGTTTTAAACCAAACAGAGCAACACAGTAAAGCAATAACATACTGGGCCCGCTTGGAAACTCGGGCTGGAATGGTCACATTGATTTGGGGACCAATCACAGAATGATGATTGGTCATTGGTTAATATCGGACGAACGGAAGCTTGAACTTTGTTTACAGATCTAACAAATAGCAACAAACAAAACTATCTTTCCTCATATTTAACTCGCACAAACAACAGTATTTGTTCGGCACCATAATGTAAAAATAATTTCTCTTTGTCACTTCTGTTGTGAGACTAACGTCATCATGTAAAATTGTTTTTTTTTTGCTTACATGCAGACAATTAAAGCACCAACGAACTATGCTATGAACAACCGTAAACCAGTCTAGGTCACAGCCTGCACTGTTGAGGGATGCACCTTGAAGGATTTTCCACAGCCATTATTATTAATTCTACAGGATTTTGTGAACAGAACAGTTATTAGACGCTAACGGAATTGTCAAATCAAAGGACTGCACTTTAGAATAGCGAACCTCTTTCCCCTGATTTTCTCATTTGATATGCTCTTACTTTAAGTGGTGTATTTGGTAGAAGGAGAGGAAAAATGTGGACATTCAACTCTGAAATAGAAAGGACACTAACAAAGCAGTGAATGTTAAAAAGGCGTGTGCAGGTGCCAGTTCCAGAGTGAAGCGGCGAGCCAATTACACTTCTAACTCCACAGTGTAAAGTTGAAAACCATTGTCTTTTGGGTTTTTATCTTTGCCCACTGAGGAACAGCTTGTGAGCAGAGAAGTGCCAGCCTCATCTAAACGTACACAGATTAATTTCACATTCCCATCGAGGATTGGCTTTCTGTCTGAATTGTGGTTGCGACCTTGACGAGAGCCAGTGTTGGGCCTCCTCTTGAATGGAGTTTTAATCGTGAGGCTGCAGGCGCTCAACAGGGCTTTGAATGGGCTAAAGGAGATCACAGAGGGACTGCATTGAACAAGGTTATAGTTACTAAGGAGGACAACGTTTACATCAGTATATAGGCCTAATTATTGCTGCTATCTCTGTGACAAAAACCATAGAGCTGCTACTGCTACTTGGTTTATTTCTACACCTGCTCACTAGCTCATGTCTGTTTGATGGATAAGCCCGAATTCCACGCATTACTGCTGTTTTGTAAAATCCAATTTCACTTCTTGGTTCTTGGCTCCTGGTAAATGGAAATCCCCGGCCACGTTCTTGTGCTGTGCTCTGTAACAGGTGGGTCCAGGTCAAGTGCTGCTATTGACCTTCACAGAGTAATGATTCAGAGACATTAGAGATAATCACTGTTATATTTAAGCCAACATTCACTGTAAAAAGGTTATAGCTACATTTATTCATGACCGAACACTTCTATTATTCAGATTGTTCATTTGGAGGTGAGCGGGGAACACGGAGAGCCAGTCGCAGTATAGAGCTGGGACCGTGATGTCACACTTTCAAGAATTTTCAGTGTGGTTAATGTCGCACCAATGGGCATTTCAAAAGATGAATGTTTTCTTAAATGTCTTTTTAAATGATTCTGACACCACACCGTAATAATTGTACTTGCAGTTTAATGGTAGAGCTGCTGGACAACCCCACCTGGGAGCCAACCCAACCCAACCTTGTGGTCTGAGGGGCAGCCTGAGTCCTGGATCTATATCCCGTCTGTCCCTGGGAGCGGATCCCTCTCAATATGGGCCCCCTCCCTCAGGTTTCTCACTTTTTCCACTGGGTCTAAGGACAGTGGTGATGATCCAGAATGATTGAGGAAATGTATTAACACTTTGGTCTAATGTGTCTGTTATTATTGCATTTCCTGTGTTAGATTTTCTGATCTGTGTTGACGAATCGACTACCACTAAAAATCTCCGGATGTGCTTTTGGGTTCTACACAAATAAATTGAATTGAATGAAAAAAATTAAACAGAGATTCATCTATGTGGACTTTAATGATAAAATAATGATTTGAATAAAACTGAAATATTTAGATCCAAATGCTGATATCTCCAAGAGCTGCTTTTACAACAATTCAGCTCAAGGCAAGTTTTTTCTTTTTTTCTTTGCTCAAATAGAAGGCCGGCAACAGGTTAAATAATAAACAGGAGCGGGGAGCCTCTGTCTGAAACACATAAGAGTCTATATAGTATAAAATCTGTTTGAGATATTCCGCTGAGCCATCAACAGAACGTGTCACCACCCACTGCCTTCAGATGATCAGACAGGACCTGAAATCCACTCGCTTCACTCCACACTTTCCAGAAAAGCTCCACTGCTCTTACACTGACAGTCATTTTTGCAAAAAAGAGTGTATTATCTTTTATACAGACTGAAGCCAAACCTGTTGGCAAACTTTTTTAACTGGAAGATAAAAAATATTCAATTTTTTTTACTGGAAGATAAAGATAACATTGTATTTCAAATTTCAATATTTGCACATTTAAAACCATTTTTTTTTTTTCTATTGTCTCTCTCAAACAAAATGTGAGTTGTGTGCTCACGGTGCTGCAGTCAGTTTGAATGTCATACAAAACTGAAACAATATAATATTAAGATTAAGAGATCCTTTATTTATCCCACAGTTGCATCACCAGTTACAGAACAGTAGGAATGAGAAGTACACAACACCAGATAAGGGAGTATCAAGAACAGCACCGCTATACTTTGAACAATGAAATATTTATCTTTAGCTTGATAAAGAAGCAAAGTGTCAAATACTACACTCTAATTCCAGAGGTGGGACAAAGTCATTGTTTAGCAAGTCACAAGTCAGTCTCAATTCATTGCCCTCAAGTCCCGAGTCAAGTCACGAGTCAAGACAGGCAAGTCCCGAGTCGAGTCCAAGTCAAAGGCCAACAAATCTCAAGTCA